CCTCAATTGTTACTTGCATAGGTTTTTAGTGCCTCGAGCACAACATCTCATCAAAGCCCTCTGCGTCATGCGCTGGGCTATAATCGCAATTTCCCACAATTGAGGTGCTACATCCATTGCAGACGACTTTGGCGCAACCAGGTATTGTAAGTGTGAGAGTAGGCTTGTCCTACGATCCACTAAGATTCAGCCTGCGTTGTACGATGTGTTCTTCCCTCAGCATACGCAGCTTGCTGGGCCAGTTGGGGCTGACGGTTCCCCAAAGACGAAGTTCATTGTGTCTTATATGAGGTGTCTCACTGTTGCGCAATTGGGCTCGCCTTCTTAAGGTCTTCATCACTTCCGTTCTACTCATGGAGTGACGAGATGTGAAGATGGATGGATACTGTGGTAGGCCGAGGCAAAACATGTATGACATGGCAAACATGTATGACATGGGATTGACTGACTGGATTGACATTAAGGTCTACAAATCCCTCGTCACTCCTACGAGATTAACTGTTCGTACGGAATTCTTATTCGGATGCCCTGGGATTTGCTTGCATTCTCAGATCTCCAAATCCCCCGTCACTTCTACGAGATAGGCTCAAGGTCTTAAGTGTTCGTACGGGAATGCTTACTCGTACGCATGACGTGGGATTGCCGTCGCATTCTTAAGGTCTACAAATCCCTCGTCACTCATGGAATGAAGTGTTCGTACGGAAGCTCATTCGTATACCGATGATGGATTGTCGTCGGTTAAGGTCTGCAAATCCCTCCTAAAAACTGCTACAACAATGTATGCCATCCACATGGTTCGTGCTAAGAAGTTTTATCTATAGTTTATATATGTATTTTATACTTATCTATATTTTACATTTATTTTATATTTTTATTTACAATCAACTACATATTGCAAAGTAGGACTGACGAGGTGTGGCCATTATTGGTGGTTGGCCATACGTATCGATGGCCTGGGACTGCCGCTGCATTCTTAAGGTCTCCATATCCCTCATATCTCCATATCCCTCATATCTCCTACGAGATTGGCAAAGACCATTGTCTTGATATATGTAGCTGATTGTTGTGTCTTTTTATCTGTATATAATTCGTCTTTGGGCTAGCCTACTTTTGGGGATTAGTGACGATATGGATGAGATGGATTGAGGTTGGGCGAGGCGCAACTTGCATGGGTGACATGGCGTTGGCTATTGTTGTGTCTTGGGATGAGGTGTCTCACTGTTGGGCAATTCCCCTGCTTAAGGTCTTCAAATCCCTCGTCAGCACTTCCGTTCAACTCATGGAGTCACGAGATGTGGACATGGATTGTGGTTGGGCGAGGCCCGATATGTCTGGGTGACACGGCATTTACCTTAAGGTCTCTAATTCCCACGACACTCTCACTGAATGAATTAAGGATAGCAAATTCGTCCAAAGACGGTATCGTTATCTATGTTTTATATGCATTTTATTTTTGTATCTAAAGGCTTTTTGTATATTTCATATGTTATATTTGTTTACATATTATATATAAGGGTGTAACTTCCGAAGTGCGCAGGGTGCTATCAGCGTTTATTACTGCACGCTATAATTAATATACATGTATGGAATAATGGGTTACAGTGTGATTACAGCGTGCTTGCTGGGTATGCGTGCTAGTAGAACGCTCCAGGAGGTGAGGCCGTGATTGGTAGTTGGCCATACCTATCGATGACGTGGGATTGCCGTTGCATTTCTTCAGGTCTCGAAATTCCTCGCCACTATATATATATATATATATATA